GAGTCTGCAGGGGCATCCCGGCCAAGTCGTACTGCTACTTGTGTGTGGCCCGGCTTGGGGTGCGAGACATTTTAGAAAGAGCCATTTCTGATGGCAAGCAAGCGTAACTGCTAGCACAACTCTAATCCGAAGCAAAGACAGTCTTCTTGCTCACTCTCTGCTCGACGCTGCTCTACACGGGCCTGGCAGCAGCTGCCGTCACCTCTGGAGCACCAGGGGACGCCTCGAAGAAGGTGAGGGTCTGACGAAGGAGATGGTAGGTCGACCTCGGTCTCGGAGCTTGGGTTCAGGGTTTTTGTTTTGGGCTTTTCTTTGCTTTGGTGTTCCCGAGTTTAAGGCATATAGGAGCTGAAGGTTGAGAGCTTTATAGGGTTTAGAACCCCCGGCTTGAGCCAACAACGCAACTCCCCAAACGGCACGTTCTTCAAGACCGGGTCTTTGCACTGTGAACTCAAAACCCCTACGCTTTTCATCACCTCTGACCACCCCCCCCCCCCCCCCCAACCCCCCACACAAAAAAAGCTAGACCCGAACCCCTATGACATTCGGGCTCCTGGCGTTGGAGGCCTGCCACTGGCATAGTCCACGGGATCCACGAAGCCTCGGGCATCCGATGGCTTGGGTCGTATAGCTTCGCGGATGCACGAATGAAAATGACGGAATTCAGATTTGCCTTTTACTCAAAGCTGCAATTGCCTCCCTTGGTGTGCTCCGCCAAAATCGGCTTGGAGTTGGGTTTCGAGGTTCGAGGTTTTGGGTTTAACGTAGTGCGCAGCAGGAGTTACCGTAAATAGCTCACAGAAGCCCAGTTAGCTTCATGATGTGCCACTATACTCAACTTCAGGGGCAACTGGGCTTCCCTGGTACAATCGATATAGAGGTCCAAACAAAAAACAACTGTTGCGGCTCCCATGCAGCTTCGGGATGCTCGCGCGAAACTTAAGGCCGTTTGGAAATTGCATGCACAGGGGTTGCATGGCTTCATTGAGACTCAGGGTCTCGGAATGCTTGCAGCCTTTGGCAGGTTGATCCGACCCTGTGATTGGAGCATGAGCCCCATGCCCAGTGCTGCGTAAGCCTCACATCCGAACGAAGACAGCAAATCCTTTCCAAGCAGCACTGAAGTTGTTTCGTCTCCTCCTGCGCGGCTGCGGAGGCGAATGGCTCGGGGCGACGCAGCTAAATCTCGAGATGCGCTCTGCTCAAAGATAAAGGAGGAATAGCTCCGGCTTTCGGGGGAGGACTGTTTCGGATCTGGGACACGGAGGAGCTGACCATGATAAAGCGCAAAGAGGGATTGGCATGCAGTTTCCCTTCAGGCCATGATGCCCTCGAACCCTAGAAAAAGAAACCAAAAGCTCCCCAAGACCCGATGAGCCCTCGAGCCTCCCCTCTATGGCCCGATGAGAGCCCTAGCTAGTGCATCCCAAGCTGTAGCCTCCACCACCGCCCAGCACTTCTCTGGAGGGGAATGGCTCCGAACATCTGTCCGGAAGAGCCAGCCAGCGCCTGGGGTTTAGTGGCTGTGGGTTTTGGGCTTCGGGTAGAGAGCACACGACTTACTTCCACTGTCTACTTTTCTGCCAGGTGCCTTTCTACCTGCCCACGAATTGAGCAGGGCCCTACCGCAAAGTAGGCTATGCTACTGGTAGCTCAAGGCACGCACCATGCAATCCCCAAGCCCAAAGCTTCCTTCAGGACCCTACCTATAAACACCAAATTCACCAAAACCTAAAGCAATCAAGAATCCTTAGCAGAATCCTTGCAGGGAACTTAACAAGAACCCTGCTTGGAATCCACATACTAACACTTCGATCTAGATTAGTCAAGTGCACTTCCGAACGGCTCCAGCCTTGTCGAGAAGCTTCGCGGTTGAGGCGGGTTTGCCAGGACTCTGCCTCCTGACATCAGGAGAACTCGCCAGGAAGCTGCGTCAGCTGTGTAGTGCTGTGCAGTGGGGTGTTGGGCTGCCGGGTTCAGTTTGGACTGAGGTGTATAGAGTTAAATTCAGCTAGGGCCGCTAGGGTGTAGGAATTCGGAGTAGACTTCTCTAAGGTTGTGGTCGGGACCGAAGTCCCGTCCTGGTCGACTCGGTCGTGAACGAAATCCCAAACAGCTAGTCACTTCGACGCCTGCAATCAGCCCAACCCCGCGACTCGCTGACCTCGCTCGACACCCAGAATCTTAGAGCCCTAATCGCAGGGACTCTCCGCAGGCCTCGGCAGTCTCCACACAAACGATTATCCGCTCACCTGCATACGGAAAGCGCGTGGCTTCCAGCGGGCAGACTCTAAAAACCCAGCTATTCTCTCACTCTCTCTCGCTCTCTCTCTCTCTCTCTCTCTGTCTCTTGCTTGCTTGCTTGCACTCTCTCTCTCTCTCTCTGTCTCTGTCGCTCTCGCTCGACATATATAGATATTGATACAGATGTATGCATCCATATGCAGCTGGACATAGCTGGACCTCCGTGGTGACTCAGGGTTGTGGTACTGGTGTGGGTTTGAGCTTGAAAAAAGCGTCCTGGAACAGGGTGGTAAGGGCGATGTGTGTTGATTCTTGACTATGAGATCAAATGAACCGTCCCGTCTACAAAGGCAGATGGACGTGCGTACACACAGACATGCCCACTGCCTGTCTCTCTCTTTCTCTCTCTCTCCCGCTCTCTCCACACGAGCTTGAGGGCTATATCCAATGTGCACACATACATCACACCCAGCGAGGCAAAAGCAGGCCGCGCTGAATCCGAGAAGTATTACCAGAGCCCTCAGCTCGAGCCAACGTCTGCCATCTTACGAGGAGCCAAAGTGTGTTGTCAGCTAATTATAGCCCAGAACCTCCACCCTAACCCTAAACACCCTAGACCCTTCTTGAGCAGGGACTGCAGCCCTAAACCCTGAACCGGTAATCCCCGAGAACTTACTCAAACCGCAATCACAGGAAGCTCAAAGGCCCCAGGGCGACCTGTCACACCGTCGGTGGAGGGCTCGCAGGCCAACTCGAAGCCTTTACGGCTTGAAGTTTCAGGCTGATGGGTCCCGATATTGAGGATTTTTTCGAGTTCTTGACATGATGAAGGATTCTGATACTTGAGGCCTAGAGTCTATAGAGCTCGAGGGCATCAATCAAACCCCAGAAACTACGCTGAAACGCCCAAAAAGAGTCCACCTTACGACCCGGAACTCCGAATCCCCCTGGCTCTTTCTCTCGTCGAGATGCCAAAGGCACCGACCGATCCCAGCCAGGTGGCCACCTTAGCTGGGTTTAGGGTTTAGGGGTTTAGGGTTTGGTCCGGAAGTTTGGGTGTGGGGCCAGCTATCGCTATTCAGACGCGAAGGATGGCAGGATAGTGTAGCTCAAGGTGCCCTTATGGTAACCCTTATTCTATACGGGTTAATCATAAGGATCCGACACGGGACACCGAGTTTTTGGTTCTGCTTGCAACATGTAAGTCCTCTTCACGGGTTGCCCGGGCGCTTTGCCAGGTCTAAAACTGTTGATACCCGGAGTTTCCAAAACAAAATCCAGCCGGTGATCGAAAGGATAGACGAAATGCAGGAAGAATAGGCACAACAAGATCATGATTCACTATATCACCACGAGTACTTATTAATGATAACAGACTTTGATGTTTGCACCAAAGTCTGGCCAACATCAAAACAAGGGCCCATCGACAGTGCAGTCTCAGTACCATGGGTTCAAAAGACATGAGCCCGGATTGTGGCAACTCTACTTCAACGTCACCCGCCTCCGAAGCAAGAAGCGAAGTCAGCTGCATGACCTGTCTCTGAGTTCCACAGGCTTTGGGACACTCTGGTTCAGCATTTCATGGCGGCTTGAGGGCTTCGGCGGGTTGGGTTTCTCCTGTTCAGCGTTGTCGGGCGCGCAACTAGCACAGGTGGGTTGGAAACAGAAACCGGCCTGGTGCACCATACTTGCAACCCACTTCACGTGCCCAACAAGCCATGTCGCGGCCTTTATTCGAAAGTTATGCAGTCGATTCCTCAGGAACAATCGTTTCGAAGCTCGAACCTGGAAGCTTGGAAGATCTGGAGCTGGTGCAAGGGAGTTTCTGTAGTTGTTGCCGCGCTGGACTCGATGCGCGCATGCAGGACATCGAGCTCAACCAACGCCTCTACTCCAACCTTTGCAGAGTACTCCTCGAATTCTCGGCGGGCCTCACACCCCGGCAAAGGCAGAGCCGTCTCTGGGGCATCGCCAGCCTGGACCAGAACACAAAAAGCTGCTGTGGGGGCCCATAGGTTGGTTGTGACTAGACCGGGTTTCTACAAGTTCACGGTAGGGCCGCAATGATCACAACAGGTTTTGGGGTACATGCGACGGTGCTCCCCTAACATGCTCAAGACATAGGAAGGCATGATGATGTCGATCACATCGGCAACATTAACATCACCGATGTGGCGCACCTACAATGATGATGGTCGTGGCGGTGCGATGGCCATAAGGAACGCCCAGTCACATATTAGTGAGATCGCATCATGCCTGTGGAGGGTCACGCTGTCACCCTTCCAATTGTGGCCTTTTGCTTGGTTAGAAGATGCTCGCAGTTAGCAGAATGTTCAACCATATTCCTCATGGTTCCTGTTTTATAGCGCGCTCTAGCTTCTTCAATGCAAACCCCATGTAAAGACCAGACTAGAGTCTAGAGAAAGACAATGCCCAAAGAGGTGCGTTGAGGCTTCCGGTAAGCCCAGACGTCCTAGTCCCAACACCCTGAAGACTCCCTGAAGCCTGGATAGCCCTCCAGCTACAAGAGCTAAACAAAAAAAGAAAAACTGCAGCTTCGCAGCCTGGATCTGCCGCAGCACCAGGTGCCGCGCACGAACTTCCGCCCAGCACCTGGTTGAGGAAGGGGAGGGTGAGGGCATCCAGACTGCAGGCTCTGCTGGTTTAGGGTTTTCGTTACTCGGGTTTAGGGACTACGTAGAGTAGACTAGCTTGGGCTCTTGACATCCGGTTCCGGGCCTCGGGTGCAAGATTGGGGTACAGGGCAGTTCATCCCTGGTCGATTTCCACACAAACAATGGCCGGCCAAGGCACCTTCAACGGTCTGTTGTGTTTGGATCTTCCTGTTGGATTGTTTTATCTCCGATACCACCATTCATTCATATTAGGACTTTGCTGTCGCCTTGGCTGCTGCTGCACCTCCTGCTGCAACCACCACTCCTGCTACGGCCGGCCACCATTCGTACTGGAGCTAGCACTGTTTTGCCACGGATGTTCGGATTCACGTCAATGATGTTGCCTTGTCTGCATCCCTACCAATGCGGCTGCAGTTCAGTTGCTCAGGACACGGCAAAAAGGCCTGATGGAAGGGGCTTCAATTCGAGAGCTCATAGGGTCTTAAGATCCGCTGACACAAGCCACAGGCCTCAAGAAGAGAAGAGCGCTGTTCAGGGCTCAGGGCTTTGGGTATGTCCTAGCGGTCCTAGCATCAGGACTTCGGAAGATTCGGAAGAGAGTCTCCCGATACTTGCTAGGCTGGTCTCTGCTCCGACTCTTACGTGGATGATCGGCTTTTCAAGAGCACGCGAGGGGGGGGGGGGGCCCAGTGGCCCGGCCGACATGCAAGGGATCCTGCGTGATGCCACTACTGGCATCACTGATGGCTATCTGCTCTTTCCGAGGCCGGAGACCAAATGCAGATGCTGTAGTTGCCCCACTCAAAAGTTGCCTGAGTGTCGACCGGAGCCAGGCTCCAGCCAACCGTGGCCGAGGACGTGGACACGACGACGTTGTAGGCGTCATCACTCCAGGCCTCTCTAATCTTCTTGCGGATGCAGCTGGCAAAATCGAAGTTGTCGGCCGTGTAGCAGGTGACAATAGTATCTTCTAGCGAGGATAGGGAATCACCCCAAAAGCCCTCAGTCGCATAGAGCAAGGCTTTCGGACGTCCTGGTGGCTCCTGTGCGGCAGATTGGAGCTGTGACTCATCGTGCATGCGGACTGCAGAGCTTGCTGTCAGCAGGCCGGCAAGGACTGCCTTCCAAAGAGTTTCCATGCGAAGATGATTTTGCAAACTCTCGGGCTCGGTTACATGCTTACAAGCTTGGGACTTGAGCCGTTCGGAAGGGCCGGATGAATTCCTGATCTTCATGACTGCCCAATGAACACCGAAGCCAACGAGGCAGGAAGCTTGAAGACCCCGACAGCCCTGACATGGGTCGCAGGCCCATCAGCTTAGGCTTTCTCGGGTTCCGGTAAACCTTCACAGTTCTCCCACATGCAAGTCTTACAGACCCGAACGTCTTCAGTCGTTACCTCTTCTGTGACCTTGGAGCATCTCGTGTCGTGCTGCACCCCGTGGAAGCTCTACTAATCATCACTAATCACTAATCAAGTCACTGGTCCAAAATCGTGCTCAAAATATCTTGAATATACTATCATGTCCCAGGCTGGAGTTCTCATTCAGGACCTGGTCTTGTCGTCATACTTCGCGCACCCAGCCCTGGGACCCTTCTTGGGAGGTCCGAGGCGCTTCTCCCACACCGGCCGCCGGAACAAGCGAGGCTGCAGGAGCCACACGAAAGAGCCCGGTTGGCGCGGTGTCCTGCATGCAAGTAGCTTGTAGTTCCAAGGGCTGACATAAGCTGTTAATTTTCAGGGGTACAACCTGTGTGTTGTATGGACACGCGCCGCACCATTCCGCAAAGAAGGGCTGGATACACTTGGCGCAAATGCGGCTCCTGCCACCATCCTCAAGCGTAGGCTGCCTGGGGCTGGGTAGCTCAAACAAGCTTGAGTCCGACCGACTCCTACAGGCTCAAACCAACAACGAGAGCCCATTTTTGTTCGTTTATACTTAGAAATAAGAACTATGTATATATATATACATACATGTATGTATATATATATATATAATTTGTAATATGTTTATTTATTTTGAAACATATACAATTCCTCGAGTCCCTCACTTCACCCGCAATCTTCCAAATGAAGACTTCTCTACGCTGAAAAAGCATTCGAGTGGGAACCAAGCACCCGACAGGCTGGTCTTTTCCAGAACTAGGACAAAGAACAAAACACTAAACATATTGGGGACAAAAAGTATTTTTCCCACTATGTTTAGCCCAATAAACATAGTTACCTTCGCTTCCTTCAGGCGAACTCGGACCCGAGGACCCTGATGAGAACAACCTGCACATGGCTTGCACCGCCACTGCGTCTCTTTCTTCTTCAATCAAAAAAGTGGAACCTTTCTGAGATAGACCAAGTCCACAGGGCCAAAAAGCTTAAGGTTCTCCTCATGGCCGCCTAAGACTTGTTTCTCTGACTCACTCTGATCTTCACTGGCACCAGTTTGATCTTCGGTAGCTTTCGGGGGAATGATCTCCAATGTCCTGCGAACCTTTACACAACAAGGCAGAGGATGCAGATGCTGATCCACGAATGATTATTTTACAACACCATTACAAATACAGTGGTCGTCGGAAACCAGAGGATGCAAGGCCCCTTAGTTATTCGCCTGATTCTCAAGTCTGCGGGTGGATACACCCCGAAGCCACAACCAGAAAGGTTGCATATCTAATTGGTTATCAGCTGCTGACTCCTTGACTCTAGCCAACCCCCTGGGCTGCCGCACGAAGCTGCACGCACCCACCGCAGCCGGCACAATCGCGGCCTGTCCATTTGTGGAGGATGCTATACCATAGTTGCTTTGCGGCAAAACCTTTTGGTGTGACGGCATGACGGCCAGGCGGCGACGAGGACTGCGGCTGCCATTACTGCTACATGCTGCCTCTGCTGCTGCTACTACTACTTTTTCTACTACTACTACTACTACTACTACTGCTGCTACTGCTAGCACTACTGCTACTGCTGCTGCTACTGCTCCTGCTGCTCCTGCTGCTCCTGCTGCTCCGCTGCTGCTGCTGCTCCTGCTGCCGCTGCCGCGCCTGCGACATTTCTGCCTACTCCGGTCCGTGTTTCTGCACATTACCACAGGTTTGCGACCGAACGTCTGGGAGCAAGGATGGTTGAACTGAGATTCCAGATTTTTCTACAAGTAGGCATAAAGAGTGTGGAGTTGTGGTGTTCTTGGTGCGATGTGTCTGAAGACGACGTACGCTCATTACTAATGTCTTCGACTGCTGTTGCTCTGGAGCTGAGAAATACCCAAACCCCAAGCCCTGAATAACCCGAAACCGTAGTGTTTCTCCATCTGGCCTTCGCGGCCAAGACCTTGGCACCTGCCCAAAGAGCAGGTCGAGGAGAGATTTACGCAGGGTTACGGGGATTAGACTGTAGGGCTTGGGCTCTATTATAGCGTGCTCCGGATAGGTCGTACTCGCGATATGAGTCCCATATCGACCCGTGCAAAGAGATAAAATGCTCCGTGTCAGCCCCAGTCCTCAGTACCTCCCAAAGACAGCATATGCCACCACGAGACCCTTTGTGCAGAAGGCCTGGTTGTCCAGCAGCCCGGTCTAGCACGAGACACGAAGCCCTAAATCTATAGTCTCAAACCCTAAACCGTCCTAAACCCTAACGGCCCTAAACCCTGCTTCACAAAGCTCCGAGAGATGGGACGGCCTCCGATGGCTCTTCCTCGAAGCGTGGAGGGAGCCTCGGGACGCCCGCGGGTCACGCAGAGGCCCTAACAATGAGAATTGGAATAGGGTTCTGTGGTACACTATACCAATCACACACACAGATATGTGTATATATATATATACGTATGTATGTATATATATATATGTATATATATATATACATATATATATAGAGAGAGAGAGAGGGACTTTTATCTGATTTGCTACTGTTTTTTTCCGACCTTTTTTGTGAGCTTCCGACAAACATGCCTCCTGACCAAGCATTTCTTCCAATAGGGGGTGGTTGTCTTACAAACTGTGACAGGTCGCTTCTCTTAGGATCTGCCATCGCTTGAGCAGGTGCAGCTATTTGTTTGTTGCTTTTTGTAGCACTGTAGCCTAAACCCTTCTGCATGTGCAATTTCCAGAAGCTGCCAAGCCAGGAGGCATGTGAAGATTTGAGACACTACGCTTCCCACTTCCGAAAAAACAAACAATCAAAGGTTCCCTCGCCAAGACATCATCAACATAATCTTGCATTTCCCGAACTGCAGCTGCAACACACACGCACTCCTCAAGGTCACACGCCGTCTCTCCATCTGGAGATAAAGCCGAACAAACAAACCCTCAACTCTCAAACGCAAATGTTGACGCTCTACCGGTCCTTTACATATACGTACACATCCATCTACCTATAAACCCATCTATATATATATATCACTCTCTCTCTCTCTCTCTCTCTATCTGTCTATCAAAAAATGGTGATGGTACTCTCTAGTGCATATCGTATCCTTTCCCCTGTTGCGCTAGAAGTCCTCAACGGCCGTGTGCCGTGTGCACTGTGTGCTGTCACCCCAGTGGTTGTGAGCTGTCTGCCCACTACAGTGTTGGCACAGCCACAAGTCCCCCGTGATGTGCCCACTGGGGTTTCCTCACGACGTGGCACAGCTAACTCACCTTGCCAGTTCGGTTTTCAAAATTGCAGAAGGACAGTAAGCCACCACAACTTCTGTAATTAGTGCAGAACTGTGCTCCGTCATGCCCTGTTATACTGCAAGCCAAGCTACGTCAATGTGGCTCTCCCTGCAGTTGTCGTCTCCTGTGGCCGACTTGGAACCCGACATGCCGCACATCTAATCCTGCGGCTTTAAAGCTCAAAGGTAGGATCCTCTGAAACCCGGACACACTGGAAACCCCCTAAACCATAGCTCCTAACCCAATGTCCTGTGTTTTCCCTCCGGTCCTCCAGCCGGATCTCTGTCACGGCCTGCTGACAGGCGGTGGCTCGGGTTGGTCTGGCTTCGGATTCCCACCCCTGTGTAGGGTGTCCTTGTGGGCAGGATCCTCTTGAGCTTGCTGTCGTCGGGATGCTGAAATTTATCCGACAGCAGAACCCAGCATCGATGGCAGGATGCAGTGGCTTCGGACTTGAATCGTCAGCTGGATGCCTGGTATGTCGCAGTGGCATTGTTCAGAGCCGACGAAGCTTCCGACGCTTGAAGGCTTCAACTAATCTAAGCTAGGGATCTGAACACAAACAACTCAATGGCCCTCGGCTCAAAGTCTCATGCAGGTCTCCCAAATCAAAAGGCTCGCAGTGACCTACCTCGCCGGTGACTTCGGCATCGATGTCGAACACCTGCCGTTGCTGTTCTGGCGAGTGTGCTCGGCGACAGCTGATCGCAAGAAAACGCGGCATCCCTGCAGGTCACCCAAGCAGCTAATACTCGTGAGACTGGGCTCTCAAACCCCAGTCTGAGCTCCGCGCTATCAGGCTACCAGCAACCAACATCCCGCCACACGAGGCCAAGGGGCCGCTAAGTTGCTAAGCAGGAGCCTCTGGCGGACTCCACAGATTTCGGAAACTCCCACATACGCAACTTAGAAAAAAAAAACCTCTCGCCTTAACAGGAACCCAAGCCAATTGTGCCTGCGGCGGCAGCGCCTGCGGGCAGGGGGTCTCAGACTCAATGGGTCGACGCAGGATGTTTCATTATGCCAGGGTTCCTTTGGCCGTTTTTTTCCTCCCACTTAGCTTTTGGCCGCTTGGGATTTAGGGTTTTTAACAGGTTTGGGCGATTCCAGGTGTATGGGGTTGACTAGGCCGTGGGCCTTTCGAGGCTCACCGCTTTAGCCCAGCGGGCCCCATCCGGGTGCCCGCCCAAGCAGCCCAGCGCGCCTTAAAGCATCATGAGAAGCCCTGAAAAAAACCCAGACAATTTAAAGGATATCCCCTGATAATGGGGTTCCGAGGGTAGGCGGATAGAAGGACACTTGCACCATGAGGCCTCCAGAGCCTAAAACCCTAAAACCCCCAACTCCTGCACCTGGAAGCCCTGCACCGCAAGGGCTCGGAAACTGACAGCACCTTTACTTCTGCATCGCCATTCTGCCATGATGAATCCCAATACTCTTAACTACTAAGCCCAACTGAAAGATTTCCCAACACCCCCCGCAGTCCTCCTTGGAGGATGGGCCGTAAGAAGAGCCCTGATTTTTGCTTGAGAGTTCATAAGGACTTCAGTTGAATAAAGCTTTCAAGGGCCGAAGAAGAGCCCCGGTGAGCGGCTCAGGGCCCTTCGGCTCCCGAGCGATTTAGGTCTGGAATTCTGTGGAATTCGTTGGGACATCCGGCTCCTCATGAATGAGGGGTCCCATGTCCGGGCCGGTGGGTTTTGTGGGGGACATTTAGGGAGCCTTGCCAAGAAAAGAGCTGGCATCACCCTGAACCCAGATGGCACCAGGAACTCTTGGACCCGACCCTCCGAAGAAACGCATATAAGGCTGCAGGCTTTCATGAAAAGCTAACCGAACACAAGTTCTGTGCCAGAACATGAGGCCGTCCTGATCGTTTGAACCTCTGACCACCTCTAGCATCCTGAATCCTATAGGTCCTAGGTTATTATCCCTTAGCCGCTGAACCGTTCAATCCCTGTCAAGCCGCATGGCCGCTGAGTTCTACCTCGGCAGCCCGGCGGCCACGGCGAAGGCGCGCCAGCTCCTATACAGGATTCATCGCGGCTCGGCGCTCAGAAACGAAAATGAACGACGCGTGGGGCCGGTGCAAAAACATGGCCCGGAGAGCCTTACACTTCCGATTTCCAAGCCTTCTGCTTTGATTGGGGCTGACGGAGAGCAGTACACCATATCCACTGGAACCACAAATGCGTCGATGCCTGTGAAGCATCGAGACTGCGCTGCCTTTTTGAGGAGGGGCTGCAGTGCACAAAGCGGGTGTTCCTAGTTGCTTCCCACTTGAGGTGTAAAAGCCTGCTGCAGAGACCTACTCAAGGTAAGCGCCAGTTTTGACTGCGTGTAGCAGGATCGACTTTCAGAAGTCCTCACTGCCACATTATGCATGATAAGACCGATAGACCGTATGAGTCCTAAAAGACTTAAAACGCACCCTTGTAGAAAACCAGGGCCCTAACACAAGGACCTTTATAATAGCTCGAAGAATGTGTTTTTGGGGATGTGTTTTTTTTTGGGGGGGGGAGGGGGGGGGTATATTACACACGGCATATTTCAACACAATGCGTATACCGTATCCCTATTATATATATATGTATACATATATGGGCTGTTGTCAGTTGCTATTCATATTATTACACCCTATAAGCCCTAAACCCTTTCTGAACCCGGACTCTGCCAATGAGCCCTAAACCCTAAACCCCTACATGGTTCAGCCCTCCACCCGACCTCGTAGGCGAGCTCTGGGTTGGTCTTGGCAGCGAGGCCGAGCTGTGAGCCGACCTTGATGGAGATCTTGCGGGCTTTGGGGGCCTTCGCATTCGATGATTTTAGGGTGTGTGGCGGGGAGGGGGGGGGCGTTTTCGGGTTTTTGGGACTTCTGGCTATGCAGACTTTGGGCTTCAGTGGTTGAGCTAGCCACTTCGAGTTTCGTCTCTCGCCTTGCCACGGACAACAAATCACCAAGGTTTGACCAAAACGCCCGGATTTGGCAATCTAGCAACCTGAAGCCTCCTGTCCTGCCCGATAGCTGTGCAGCCCCAGGGTCTGCTTCGGCGAAGGGGTCGGCACCAAGACAGAGGCCAATCTTGAAAATCAGCACCTGGAGGTCATCACTCCATCGTGGGGCCACCGGGCGGCTGCAAAGGTAAACAGTATTCGTGCTCAGAAGCCCCATTCTTATCAGTGCAACTCAGTCCTTCAGCATGCTCTGTGGAGGATCCCGGAACAACAGCAGCATAAAGCAAATTTCTCCATCCATCACCCCCCAACTATCTCCTCCTGGACAGCTTGTTGCAGCCTGCGACTTAGACTTGCAGACGCCACTTTTTTTGTCTTGACATCGCCGGTGGCAGCTTCTGCCAGCCAGGAACACCCCCGACACTTCCCAGCCTCGGCCAGAAGATGGACGTAGGTGTAGCGGGGAAACCTGGCTCGAAAAGGCAGCCCGAGACAAAAGGCGGTTCAGGTTTAGGGTTTTAGGGTTTTAGGGTTTTAGGGTGTAGGGTTTTAGGGTTTAGGGCTTTAGGGGGTTAGGGTTTTAGGGTTCAGAGTTTTAGGGTTTAGGGTTTAGGGATGTTTGCTCTTTGGGATTGAAGGCCTTGTTTTGCACGACGCATTTCCGCCCGACTACATGTTCCCACGAGGCTCGGAAAGCAAAAAGTGGAATCCCCCCTGAGTGTTTGGAACCACAGTGCTGAAGTCCACACAGACGGAACATCCCGATAAGTTCTCTCGGGGTTTACCGCTTAAGCTTTATAGGGTTTAACGGAGCTTGCAGTGACAAGCTTGGACTATGCGGAGGGATTTGGCATGGGCTTCCCGGGACAAGAGTCAGCAAGGCATGCGGCATCGGCCTTTGTCGCATCCAACCTGGACCCAACACCCTACGGCACCAATTGCACAGAATAGCAATGGCCATCGCTGTCACCGGCATCAACATCCAAAAGCAGCACCACCAGCATGTTCATCATCGCAATCATGATCTCTCTCTCTCTCTCTCCTTCCCCCTCCTCCCATTGTGAACAGTTAGTTGTCGCAAGGAGCAAACAATAATCGCACTGCAGGGTCGTCAGTGTCATGATCACGGTGGATATCCTCATCGTCCTCCTCCTCCTCCTCCTCATCCTTATCGGGAGTTGCAAAACAAGAGTCAGGAATTGCATTAACAAAACTCGTAGCCAAAGCATCGGCATCAAGACAGTTTTGTTACAATACGTGATGATGGAAACCAACTGCAACTAACTAACCGTCTGAAAAGGGGTTCAACTGCCCCACAACTTTAAGTTTGACCTTCTGAGCCGCCTCTTCGGCAGTAGGTCGCCCGTGGGCTTCAGCGTGTTCAGCCGTTGAAGCTGCTGCCCCACCGGAAAGACGCGCGGCCTCGAGGAGAGCGCCCCAGGGTTTCTGCTTGCAGCTCACACGAATCCTAACCATAATAATACTGACAATAATAATAATTATTATTATTGTTGTTGTTGTTACTATGATTATTATTGAGTCCAGGGAAAGGCAAGTGAGCAGATCGAAGGAATCTGGGCCGCCGTCGCAGTTCGACATGACATCGGCCACCCCATGCCCCGAATCGACACTTGACTGCGCCTTGCATGTGACGGCATGCCAGGGGCTGCGTTCCACTGCAGCGTCTCCTCTTTGAAACGGAAGCGGGTCGAGGTCTAATATAGGGTCACTCTTTTCTCAATCTCCCGACTTGATATTGAACCTCGCCGTTTGGGTGCTTTTTGGTTCAGGGTTCAGGCTCCTGTCAAGTGCTATGATCTTTTAAGCATACGCTCGTGCCCGTCACGCAAGCGGGCTCAGGCCGGTCCTGGATAATCTTCACCACCTCTCGCATCAGCGAGCAGTTCTTGACCTGCGGGGCATATCTCTGAACGTACTTTCAAGATCATTACAACCCTGTAATAAAGCCCTCAGCTCCAAAACTGATTTTGGCCCGCAGCCTGAAGACCTGGTCGAAGCCAATTCCCAACCCTCTCCCGGCGCGTGCTGTCTTGAAGGGACCGTAGCAAGAATTGCGTCGGGCCGAAATACGAAAAACACTCAGACTCATGAACAGACAAAGCCGCCTCTCAGATAGCAGACGGATGTTGCTTGTGTTCACCGGGTTACGAATTCGGGCGTCCATGCTTCTGGTGACTTGCAGCTTCTTTTCTGAAGTCCTCTGAAACGGGAACCACGACAGCCCCCCTCGCCTTGCTTTCTGGCGGACCCGCATCATGAGTTTAATAACACCTTGCAAACGTCCAGCCATTGAACCGACACCTTTCAAAGCCCCCTGCCCTACTGTACCACCGGTCGCCTAAACTCCTAAGCCATGCCGGGACACCGCAGTTGCAGTGTTCACCAGTAAGCCCACTGCTGACCTGGCTTGGGCCCCCACGAAGCCTAAAACATCAACACGTGGCTGACCAAGCAGATCTCTTTAAGCACAATTCTGTGGCAGCTTCCTGTGCCAATATCTCTGCTTCGCGATTCAAAAATGTTTCGTCTTGGAAACATCGGCGCCTGGCCCAAGATCCTCAAACCATTTTGCTATCGTCCAGCATCAACTTCGTCAGTATTCGGGCTTGGGCTTGAGTCGGCTTGAGTGGTTTAAGTCCTTCGGGTTTCGGGTATCCGGCCGGGCCTGGCCGACTCCTCCCAAGCAGAGAGAGTCCGGGCGAGGAAGATGAGCTGCAGGCGCTGCACTGCCTCAGAGATCTCGTAGGCAAGCTTCCAGGTTGAGCTATCTCTTGCCATGCTAACTCAAATTAGCCATGCTTTCACCAAGCGGACGAAACGAACGACCACAACTACCACACCCGCCCTACTTTCTACTTCAAGTCTATACTTTTTACCGGTCTGACGCGGTTCAGGAATCCTTGGCTCCCAGAAGCTCTAAATGAACAAACCCCAACAAGCTGGGAACCCAGCCCTCAAAACTAAAGCCGAAACCTCACCGTTTCCTCATGTGGTCCTCCCCGGTGGATCCTAGGGGGGCCCCACCGATTTTCACATGTGCAGGGCCGTGATGCGAACTGCTGGTGTCTGGGCTAAGGTAGGATGTCTTGCTATAGATGCTGGTCTGCTACATTGTGGTCCAGGGTATGTTCTATTTTGTCGGACAATACTGCTCGCTCTCTCTCTCTCTCTCTCTCTCTCTCTCTCTATGTATATGTATATATATATATATATCAGCTTCAGCTGTCGTGACATGTATCAGACTCACTTGCATCTCAGCCCACCATAGACCTCAATCACACCCCAGAAGACACGTGCGGCTTGGTTGCGCGGGGGATCGGTGCCTGAAGCTGTGCTCAGGAGTAGAGTCACAAACAGCAGCAGCCCCACGCCACCAGAAACGGCTATCGTAAACCAAAAGTCTGACCCGGGAATCTGATGGGGAAGTGTTCTGTGCATACTACATACGGTTTGGGCTGGCGGTGTTTGCTCTCATCTTCAACTTTCCGAGGCTGCTATGGCCATGAGCTCTGCAAAGGAGTCTCAGGCTTCTCCAACCCTTTTGGAATAGCACATCTCCCGAATCCTGCACGAAGCTCATACTGCTAACGACACAGAGAGACTTATTGTCTGAAAAAGGCACCGAGCAGCAGAACTATGCAAGGCAAGTGCCCCGGAGGATCTTCGGGGTGCGGGCTTCCAAAAACCACGAATATGCATGCTGGACCTCCACTGGGAACATTCGAATCTCGCATACTTTTTGGAGCCTCGAAGGCGGTGTTCTGAGCCCTAAGATGCCAAGAAAGAGACCTCTACTTGGAGGGTTCATGGATAGGGCTATGAGTAATTAGGGTAACCGTAACTATACTTATAGCCGATATTCCGAGACTTATAGCCCCACTTATATAGCAACCCGTGAGCCTCCAAGTGGGGGCCGGGGCCATAGGTCTCAAGACTCCGAAAGCTGCACCCGTAAGTCCAAGAGGCCAGTGGCACCAGCTTCTGTTCGATAAGGCGTAGCTTGCCGGGATCTTTGCCCTCCTCCGACCCACATCTACATGTATCGGACGATTGCATGTACGTAAATACGGTATTAACAGTATGAAACTATGTGTGTCTGTCTGTAACATCTGTAACTCTGTGGTGTGTGTGAGAGTGTGTGTGTGTGTGTGCGTGGGTGGGTGTGTGCGTGTGCGCGCGCGTGTGTGTGTGTGTGCGCGGGTGTGTGTGTGTGTGCGCGCGTGCGCGTGCGTGTGTGTGTTCTGTCTGTCTCTGTCTCTCTCTGTCTGTCTGTCTCTCTGTCTCTCTGTGTCTGTTTCTGTGTCTGCCTGTCTTTCTGTCTGTGTCCGTGTCCGCGTCTGTGTGTCATCATTACTGTTCTGAAATTCTTGTTTCTGTTGATACAGTTACTATCAGCAACATGACATTTTGATGAGGACCATGGCCACTGTCAGTGCCAGCACGATCACGACCGCCGTCACGTTGCATTGAAACTGCTATCATGGTAGATACCGTATGCATGCATGTACGCCTGCATGCGTGCGTGCGTGTGTGTGTGTGTGTGTGTGTGCGTGCATGTGTGTGCATGTATGGATGTGCAGATGTATGTGCACACGTCGGTATATGCATATACGTGTACGTGTATGTATATGCACGGGTATGCGCATGTACAAGTGAACGTATGTGTATTCGCGTGTGTAGCTGCGGATGTTTATGTACAAATAAAGACACACATACATACATACATACATGCATGCATGCATGCATGCATGCATGCATGCATGCATGCATGCATGCATGCATCTATATACCCTTCACACAGCTTCAGCATAGGTCGGGCTTGGAACGGCGTAGATGCATGCAATACCCCAGGCTGCAGCACCACACGCAAGCACCCTAAAGCTGCACCTCCAAACCCCAAAAGCGAAAATGAGCCTGAAGCCTTGCAAGAAAAGAAAAACCTCGGGAGATGCAGTGCCTGCAAGTACACCTGGATGGCATGCAGCCTTGGCGAGGAATTGGGTCTTCTCTACAGTGGCTGATCAAGAGCAGGAACCGCCAGACTTCCAATGCCACATCATCTTGATCACTGGTCTTGAACCCCTTTTGGCTGTCTTCTGTTTTCCACAACTAACTAACTAGCATCTTCTTTTGCTGTTTTTTCCACAACTAATTAGTACTAACTAGCATCTTCTTGTTGCATCTTGTTGCCAAGTGGCGGATCCTGGTCTGGCTTACTCGCCAGCGTGTCGACCAGGTTCTCAGACTGCTCCCAGTCGCGCGGCTCAGAGAACCTCAGGCGCAGCAAGCGCTACGCAGGCTCAAGGGGTCTCTACTTGGAGGTTCATGGGTAGTTATAAGTGGGGTTATAAGTCCCCTAATATGGCTTATAAGTATAGTTACCCTAGGGGTTTGAGCTGTAGGAGTTGGCCCATCGCTCGCAGACTCCGACCAGCCGAAGGAGGCTTCATGCTCGTATGCGCATTGGGATAAAACAATTTGGCTCACGCTCTCACAGTGGAGGCCCCATCCTGGGCCTGTTGCTCGCAGTAGAGTATCTTGTCACAAGGTTGTCAAACGGAGGCTGTTGTGAAGCTCGATATCAGCAGTTCGACGTGCACCATGTCACGTCTCCACAACTCACGCACCACACTCATCTGCGATGCTTCCGCAGCCATCAGCATCTTGCCTTCACCCTGTCGACAAAGGTTTCGTTCGATATCAGGGACAATGGCCAGAACCCTTCACTTCACGATACTGTCTAATGAGTCGCGTCGTTTATCCTTCCGTGTGTACTTTCTGGGTATGAAAAAATGACTACATCCCTACACTCTGATACTGTCTAATGATTCGCTTCGTGTATCCTTCTGTGTGTACTTTACGGCTATGAAAAATTAGACAATTAGACTACATCCCTGCACTCTGCCTACAACCCCTTATACAAGCCCGGGATGCAAAAACTTAACCAGGACCCCAATCTAATCTTAAAACATTCCTAAAACAGATTACTTAGCATATCCGTATAGCCCATACGTTGATATGTATACGATATCTTATGCATGAATGTGTGCGTATATATACATGCATATATGTGTATACTTGCATACTGTGTGTAATTATATGTGTATATCTATATACGTGTATAGATGTATAACTCTACCGTACATCAGTTAACAGAAGCCCAGCTCAGGGAGCGGTTCTGAGAAGCGAGCTCCGCGCGCTTCGGCGACATGGAGGCGGCTGCCAGCGCCAGTTGTGCCACATTCACACGAACCTCTGCGAGGAATCTGGGATGTAGAGCTTTAGCTTTTTAAGTGTTGACTCTCGCCTGGGTTTATTGCCTATATAGTTTAGGATGGTTAAAGGTTTAGGGCTCCTGATAACTCAGAAGCTAGCTATCGGACACTGAAGCTAGGTGATGCGATAGGCAACCATGATACAGGGGTTACAGGGGCGACACCGATTGTCGTAATTTCTGCCTGAACCCCAAAGCAAATTTACCGGTGACGATGACAAATGAGCCAGGGCTCCACGCCGAAACTTGCTCTGCCAGCATGCAACCACATGTATCATGTAACCATGCAGTGCGAAGGCCAAGCACGCTGTTTGGATTGACAGCCTGTAGGGCCTCAGCTCTTGCCTCAACCATTAGCCAAGGTCTGGATTTGCCGGGTCGCCATGGAAATGGCGAGGTTCTGTGCAAATTGTCTGTCAGCAATGAGTTGAACACCATCCTGGCTTTCACGAGAAGGAGCAGCTATCTTGATGCGCTTTGGAGGGTACAGCTTCCAGGGTGCATGAGGCTTTGTCAGGGCCTGCTAGGGGTTGAGGGTCTCTTGTCTGGCCCAGGGCAGAGCGTGGCATTTCCTTAAGGCCGGGACTGGGAAAACGTGATCTTCCAAGGTCTATCCAGCTAAAAGCCTGGGCACTGGCTTTTTTTCTGCTTGCTGTAGGCAAAGTCTGACTTCCGGGGCTTCTGCTTCGATTTCCTGCGGTGTGCATGTAAAAGTGCGTCTGTATGTATATATTTTGATATATATATATATAGATAGATAGATATATGTATATATATACACACATACACACACACACACAGACACACACACACACACCACATAATACAGAGGTGTGTGTGTGTATATATGTATATATATATATATAGAGAGAGGCCTCTCAAGCCGCCTGAGCTGCCAAGCCACATCCTGGCGCGCACTGCGCCGCTTCACCGGAGACGGTGTGCGCGAGGATGCGAAAGCATCCAGCATGGGTGCCTCAGGTTTTAAGTTGTTTGCCCACCTGCCTAGCTGACGAAGGTTCAAGGTTTGGGGGTCTGGGGATTGGTTGGATTCCTCGTTCTTGCCGTCATCTGGGTGGGGAAGGATGAGGGAAATCGACAAGATTCGAGCTTCCTGTGTCACTGTGTTGAGGTCAGTTCTCAGAGAAGCAACATTCTGCCAGAGTCTCATCATCTGCTCTCAGGCCCTCAGCTAAACTTAGCAGCTAAACTTCCAAATCGATAACAAACATGAAATTGAACTCAAAGAATACTGACATTACTGTCAACCAGGTGACAACCATAAATGGATCTGAAACAAGCTTCAAGTCAACCAGGGAGCCCAAGACCTGCTAAAGTCTCAACCGCCATCGGGCGGCGAGGTCGGGTGCCTCTTCCTTCGGGGCCGCGTCAGCACCACTGAAGATGGTGTTGGCCACATCCTTGTTGACGGTTGGTTAGATTGTAGACCAAGACTTTGCAAGCAATAATTCGTTGGTGCTGCATGTAGGACATTAGAAGATAGGGGAACACCCTGCCCTCCAACCGAAGGGACAGCCGGTGTGCACCTCTCAATGCTGGCGACAGGAGAGAGGGCTCAGGTGATCTCACCACCATGGACCAGGGTTAGCCTGAAAGCGGTTTCAGAACTCATGGGTGCACACCTATTCATACCTGTACCCACAGAAGGTTTTCAGTTGATTCAAGCCGCTCCCAGACACAATCTGATGAGCAGACACAGCCGGTTCTCTTGGGCCTTGGGGAGGACATCCAATACGTCTGATGACATACAAGCGTTGAGCGAGTTTTTGCTGCAGCTTCTGGCGGGACCCGTAGCCGAAAATGCTACCTTCTCGTCTGGGCTGCCTTGGTGCAATGGCTGGTGTGAGATTTTGTATCTGCTGCTGCGAGCCTTTGACGCGCAAGCCAACCATCCCTGCGGGCTTTTGGGGGTGGAAGATCAAGCGTTTAGACTCGTAAGGATTTAGGCTGGTCTAGGCTTTCGCGCTAGTTTACGCTCGCACACTCGGACGCTGATTTCGGGTTGCAAGGCGTTAAAAACATCTACAAGCAGGTGATCAAGCAGGTGCAAGTTCCTCTGCTGCGATGCCTCCAAGGCACGGTGGCGGGCCTCAGACACAAGGCTTGGGATTGGAGAAAGCCTACAAATTTATAACATGCACAAACCAAAATGTGCCAAATTATAGCACAGTCAAAACTTTCAGGAATCCTAAACTCATGGAAACCCTAGAAAACTTAAGACCCTAAACCCCAAAAGCGCAAACTCCTTAACATTCAACCAGACACAACTAACTCCATAAGCACTCAACCCGAAACACACAAAACACCCAACATCCTACATCCCTTAGTTCTAAATCCGAAGCCCGAACCCCTAGTTCCCCAAAATCCTGAACCCTGCACCCCTGAAAGATCGCGAAAGCCTACATAAGCTTCCACCCTCGCTTTTTTCAGCGGGGCCGCTGGCGGCTCTCGAGCAAACCGTGGATGCGGGGCGTGCGCGACTTTGGCTTCGCCTCCGCCTCGCGGTTTAGGGTTTTACGGTTCAGGGTTTAGTGCTTTTGTTTTTTTTTCCGGACCTCTCTCGCGAGAAAGTCAGCAGACTAATTTGGAAAGTTTTAGGGTTTAGGGGCTTAGGGTCGTTTAGGGGTGTAAGGTGTCGGGTTTTAAGTTCATAGAGTTTCGGATCTGGGGGTTCAGGGCTTAGTGCTTTTGCTTGGTTTCGCCTCCTGCCTTGCTAGGCCGAGCCGGGATCAGGGTTCAGGGTTTAGGGTTTAGGATACAAGCACTTTACATTGGGTCTGCAGGGGTCTCAATCACTATAGCTAGCACCTTAGAACTGGGTTTGGGGTTGTAGTGCAATTACATAGGAGCGACGGGGCGCGAGTATCACTAATCATTCAGACCGCTATCCTAATCGTAACATGGACTAGTTAGGGGTCATAGCGTCTAGAGTACTATAGGACTTCGAGCTTCCAAGATTTACTTGAGGTTTGGGTCTAATTCAAAAATCGGGTTCAGTGTGCCTTTTCTGAAGTGCTTTCTCATCCCACGTTTATAGGGTTTCGGGTCCGGGGCTGCTAGGGCTCGGGGCCAGGCCGGCTCAGATTTGGTTTAGGGTTTAGGGTTAAGGGCTTAGGGTCAAGATCAAGGCATTCAATTCTCACATTGACGCGCAGTTTTTTGGGTGTAGTTGATTGGTTGGACGCCTTTTCAAGTCAATCTCTGTCCTCGTAATAGCCTCACGTGCAATGAAAAGTATTCCTCGGTGTAAGCGGACCCACAAAGCTAGGGACAAAACTTAAACCAAGCTCTCGCATGTACGACGAATTGTTTAAACTAGCCCCCTCCCCAAACTGCAAAACTCCATTTAGAGTCGCTCCACACGCTTTGAGGCTTTTTCGCCCATCTGCAGAACCAATATGCGCATCATGAAGCCTAGCTATCATGAGGAACCGCGCAAAGAACAGCATGCGAACTAACAGCCAACAGCAATAGTCAGTGACAATAGCGGCAGCGACAGCTGCTGCATCTGCTTCTCACTTTCGTCGGCTGCGATACCATCTCGAATAACGACTGCTACGACTGCTACGACTGCTGCTGCTGCTGCTGCTGCTGCTGCTGCTGCTGCTCCTGCTCCTGCTGCTGCTGCTGCTGCTGCTGCTACTGCTAGCGCTGAAGCTACTGCTAATCCTGCTCCTCCTGCTGCTACTACTACTGCTACTGCTACTGCTGCTACTACTACTACTACTACTACTACTCCTGCTGCTGCTGCTACTACTACTACTACTACTACTACTGCTACTACTTCTTCGACTACAATTCCACTGCCACCTCTTCTGGGTTGATGTCCGTGTTGGTATAGCAGCATATAGCAGCTATATGAGGTAGATAGTGGGAGTCTGTACACCTTAATCAAGCCGTAACTGAAACCCGAGCGCGCGAAACCTGAAGAAACCTGGGCGGCCTAGGACCATGCATGGCCTGCACCTGTTCATGCCGACCGCATGACCAGGCATCCGCACAGCTCAACTGTTGCCCCACCATGGACGCAAAGCCAGTACGAGTTTGGAACTTATGGGGACTACTTTCGGTGCAAACAGGAGCTGGCAGATGCCGTTCTCGTCCACTCGCCTCCCTTTTCCAAAGACGGAAAATATGCTGAGAGGGAAAGGCCTCCCACTGAATCATGTCGCAGCACTATGCTTGCCAGCCTCACGGACGAATGGCCGCAGCCGCAAAAGCTACTCGAACAAGTATCTTGCTTTAGGCCATGGGATGCCTGCCTGTATCTCCCAAAATCTCGTGCACAAAACTATGTGGCCCAGGGTAGCAGTCTCGCAAAACAGCAGGAAAGGAGGCTTGCGGCCTCTGCACATTCTCAGCGACGCGAGTCTACAAGCTTACGAGTGCTGCATGGTTTGGGGCATTGTGCTACCTGCAATGCCACAAAATGCCTCTCCAAAGCCACAAGATCAGTATTGCGCCCCCTGTGCGACCTTTGTCTACACTCTGAGAGCACCGACATGGAGCCCCAAAGGCACGCAAGGGCGATCTACAGCCACTTCTTGCCGGGAGCAGGTGTGCCGCCGATTTGCGCAGCAATGCCTTTGAGCATTTCCTGCTGTACAATGGCGTTCCGGGGGCCGGAAGATCTGGACCACTCCAGTCTATACGGAGCTACACCGAGCCAGAGACTGCCATCAAAGCAGGCTACTAGTCACCGAGCTCATCCTCATCATCCTCGGACGGGATGTTCTGGGAGCCATACCTGAGCTGGGAACAGCAAGCATAACAAGACCTACTGCGCTGGCGTACTGCGGTTCGCAGAACGCGGTCTGACGACTGCGAAAGCCTCGCCAGGGCACCCGTCCATTTTCTTCGGTCCGCCAGCTTGGATGAGACGACTGGCATTCAAGCAGCCCTGAAGGGGTGGCTCGGCTCTTCGGATTGAAATCCATCAGGAGTTTGATAGACTCATCAGCTGAGCATTTTCGAGGCATTGTGGAGAGTGGTGAGATCCGGTAGTCGGAAAGCCAATTTGTCGTGTGTGTGTGTGAAGTTTGCAAGTAAAACGTCGCTAGAAGGAAAGATGGGTTGGTATGGACACCCGCAAATTGTGCAGACTGATGGGCTAGCCGGGTAGGCAATTGGAGAAAATGGCAATGGTACTAAAGGCAGAGGAAACAATTAATGTAGGGTGTTCCTGTCTTGCGTGAGCTTGTGGCTGTTCGGGTTCTTCTTTCCCGCCGTTTGGAACCCTGCAAGCACAGCCCTAGGGAGCGCCAAGCGAAGCTCCCACCCATTTCTTCTCTAGGGTTGGCATACCGGAACTCTGCAGCCTGAGGAACAAGAAACCAGTCATGGGAGAAGATGTGTCTAAACCTCGCGCACTGCAGAAGCCTGCGAGAAGAGTGGCAGACGCGCAACCACGACCAGCCAGTCTTCCTGCAGAGTGGGGGGCTCGCCCATGGAACGCGATTGAGAAAAGGCAGTTTCGAATACTGATCTGCACATGCTAGAACTTCTGCCGTCCTCTGCACGCTAGAACATGGAGGCATAGAAAGGCATGAGAGCGGATGGTTCAGTCGCATCATGCGTTTTCGTAACAGTCGTTCTAATCCCAGGTTCCGTGCGAGGCACCTATTTCAATATTGCAGCAAGACATAAGAGGCCGTGAAAACGGAACAGGCATGCGGCACACCCTAGAAAGCCCCTGACAGGCGCAGCCCTAAACAGCCTGTAAACGACCGGATCCATCAGCACCGAACAAAACCCACAACAAACTTGAGCACTCTTCTGGCAGTACAGAGACTTGCTCATGCATGGGACCTCGCTCTTGGGCAAGGCAAGCTCGCGAGCAATCCGACAACCAATCTCCACACCTCATATTTGCAAGTTTTGCGGCTCAGAGTATCTGATGGTTCTATGGCTTCTACGGTAGCTTCAAGCCTTGCCTCTCGTGCTCAGGCCTTGCATGTTCAGATGTTGCTTAGTTCAGGGCCCATGCAAGAAGACCCTATGGACCCATAAAGTGCGGAGACATGAAGTCAGCATGACCTGAAGACGAGGCCTGCAGAATAATGCAGGCTCGACGGCTCGACAGTGTCAACAAACTGTCCCCCACTCTGGCTGCACCCCATACCTACGAATGTGTCCTATACTGAACCACGAATCCATGTAGCCCTTCTAGCCTTTGGCCCAAGAGGCCTGTAGCGAAGCGGACTTTGTCAAAGTTCTCTGGCCTGCTCGCCTCTGACGAGAATTTCGCAACCTGTCCGGGGAGCTGGGGTCTTCAACCCCCAACCCTAAGAGGAAGTTGCGGAGAAGTGTCGGACATTCCGGAATTCCCACCCCCTAGCACCGCGATCTGTGCTGGTCTAGTTCCGATAACGCCGACAACACATGTTTGAGGGAACATATTTCTGACAAGTCTGTTCGATCTACTCTGCAAGCACTGCGCGGCCAAGACAACCCGGCTGCCCCACTTGGCAGACTCATGCATTGTTTCCATATACATTGGGCTCGAAACTGGCTATGCAAGCTTGTATATCTAAGTATGCACGCATCATGCCAAAACCTCTTTGCTGCTGAATGATCGCAGAACGCAGGAGCAAAATGCCAGGCACCCTGGCTATACAAATTCAGCAGCCATCTGGGGCTGTTCGAATCATGTTTCTCAAATTAAATTCAGAGTCCTATATCTCTACCTTCGTGGGAACTGCAACCCCATCATCTCCCCCTTGGACTTCGCAGGCAAACCTCGTGGTCAAAGATGGCATAGACGCCGTGCATAAGAGCGACCTTAACCACAGGGAGAGGCCTATGCACCCTGTACCTGCATCCTTCCTTCTCCTGGTTCGCGGCGAGTCTCACGCTACACCGAACAAAAGACTTGCACTGAACATTGAAGGCCAAAGTCCCAAAACGAAGCTTAATCTTAATGCTTTACACTCTATATGCCCCACGTTAGTTCATCCCAAACCTAAGCGCCTACTGGCAGCTTTCGTACCCGGCACCTATAATTCTACGCCTACAATCTCGAAACCTTTTCACTCCCAAACCCGGAACCTACAAGCCCCCGAAGTTGGACCGCTGATCCAGGGCAAGTGGCCTGCCGAGCCACTTCCAGGCATCGGCATATCGCAAGAATCGGAACCTTAAGGGGCCTAGTCGGGAGTTGAGGCCTCGGGTATCAAGTCGGTGGCGAGGTTTAGGGTTTAGCATAACTTTAAGACTTTGAAGGCATGGCCTTGAACCTAAAAACCTGCTGTTCTTCCGTATGCCCCTGCCCTCCATTGACGGGAGGCCGTTGGTCGCCTCTGCGCCAGAAGCCGCACCGATTCTCCAGTGGCACTGAAGACAACCATGCCACAGGCATTCATGTCCTGATGATTGGAGTCGAGGGCTTCTAGCTTTCCCATAAGGCTTCAGCAAGGGCATGCGAAGCTTCATCTCCCGAATGCCACGTTAGCCGAACTTTAGCGGGCTTACAGCCGGCTGGCTGTTTCTGAAGCTGTCTACAGCACTTGTTACATAGATGTGCCCACCTTCCAACCTGATGCGACAAGGCTTTGCATCAAGGGGTCGCACAGCTTTTTTTTGCCACGAGCCGGCAGTGAGGAATTCCTGGGTTTTTACTGGAGTAACAAGGGCTATACATAAATATATATATATATGCTTACCACGGCATGGAGCATTTGTCGCAAGAGAGAACTGGAGAGTCCTTGGCTAGGGTCGCTGCAGAACTGAGAACGGCTTCTGTTGCGATCTGCGTCTCGGTGAGGTGCTGCTTTTCCATCCTTCCCGAGTTCACGCTTGCCTGAGAGTTGGACTGTGGGGTGGTGTAGCGCGGGTTTATGTTCGCCGGTGCAAGGTCTGGCGGGCTTGACTGGAACTAGCGCTGAAATGTGTATTGCTGGGTTGGTAATTTTTCGCCTGTGGCTCTGACTATGACTTCATGAGGGTGAACAACGGGGTCGAGCTGATGCCTTGCAGTTGATCTGAAACTGCGGCACTGCGGCACTTATACCCCTCAGTCAAGCTCACTTGCTTGGCATATCAACCCACGCGTTCAAAAACTCAATAAAAACCACGGACACGCTCACACCTTCGGCATGAAACTCGAACACAGCCACAGCCAGGACACGAAATCAATACGCGACTCCGCACTCTCGATGACCCGGCGCTGCATAGCCACGGCCTCTGCTGGGTACTTGCCAACCTCAGCAAGTCGGATCACTCACATTACAAGATCGGAGTCTCGATTTTCAGATAAACTCCACGTGTGGCATAATACACAGCCTATCTCAGGGGATGCAAATGTAGTGGTGGTATAGCACGTGCTGCGCGTTCGTGCTCATGGGGGCTACGGGACGGAACAGGCGGCTGCGGCAGCAACTGGGTGTGCGCCTGGAGTCGCTCTCTGTAGCTGAGGAACGGCAGACTCACCACTCAGCATAACGGCATCGCAGCCATCGATAATGGCATTCGCAATATCACTGCACTCCGCGCGTGTTGGCATCGGGTTGGTGATCATTGTCTCCAACATCCTCAGCTGGTTGCTTCGGTCTCTGCCACACTCGGCTTGACAGAGGCGATGCTCTAATTAATCACGGAGCGGAGCCTGGAAGCCCTCTCCAAGCATTCGATGGATGACGAACCGCAGTACGTGCGAATCTGAGTAGGACACCGAAGGACTCAGGCGTGTTCGGACAATAGAGTCGCCGCGAGAAATGGGCCATCGCTGCCTGTTGAAGTATGCTGTGGTCTCTCGGTTTGAAGGACACCGCCTGGTTATGTTCGTTGTTTCAGCACGTGCATTTGTTTTCTCCTTGCTTGAAACAGTTACAAAAGACCTGCCAGGAAGAGCCCATCCATCATCATCTGCTGCTGCTGCGGCCCTGTTCTTACGATCTGAAGCTATTTCTTCGGCCAAGAAAGCCAGGGCTCTGTGTCGCCACGATGACAGGCTTCCCGACGATACGGGCACTTTCAATGATCTCCTTCTGCACGAAAGGCACATCCTGCGGGGCTAGCACATTGCAGTAGCTGAGTTGCGAGGCAGACTGAAAAACTTGGGTTCAAGTGTCAATTGCACAGAAATGCTTACAGCAAAACACCCACAGCACAGAGAGAGAGAGCGAGGGATGGAGGAGAGACTAAGGACAAAACTAACAGAGAAATCCCGAACCCCAGCTTTCTAGAAACAACGGGACCTCAACTATAGACAACCCTTATAAACTTTAAACCCCATCCCCCCCACCCCCAAAAAACAAACAAAAGGTCTCCTGGGGGTTCATCTCGACTCCCAGGTCACCGCGGGCCACCATCACACCGTCGCACTCTTCCAAGATCTTCCTAAGGATATCAAGGGGCTTTCATGATCAGAATAGGGTTTGGGGTCACGAAAATATTGCAATCGGCTTTCTAGTTCTGTGAAACCCTTGGCCGGGGAACGAAAAGAATAGACAACAAGATGGACACACCATCAGAATACTCGGAACCTGCGTTTCGCACATCAGGGGTCCGGCGTATGCTTGATCATGTATACAAAAAGAGAACGACACGGGGAGAACTGCGCATTGAACATGTCAACGGATATAAGTCAGTGAGCATATGATGGGCTAGCAACTGTCGGTGTTTCTAGGCTGAGGCATCCGACCCCAAACACGCCGGGTTCCCTCCAATAATGACTCTCTCTGAACCAGATTATCAGGGACTTGGCGAACCGAGCATTCCTGAGCTGAAAGGTCTATAGACTGCAGTATATACCGTTTCATTTCGGTCCCAAGTCTCTCAAGTCCGGTTTACAAACCGCCTGTGGTTTCGGGTTTTTGTAGACCGCTGACTATAACCTGTACATAAACCGCCGTTTCCTCAATGACTTCTCTGCAGAGAGTCTGAAGATCATCCACTGCGGAAGGCTTCTCGATCTTGGCCAAGAGCTTCAAGTCGGGCTGATTAAACTCCTCACTGTTCACCAGGGCTCTCAGCTCCTTCATGTCCTGGCAGCATGTGTCTTATGTTGTGAAGTCCCGACTTCCTAGAGTTTCGGGTCGGAAGTGTTTGTCGTTGTTGTCCTTGTCCAGCCATTTTGCTTTGGACAGGCTGACTGAATTTTTTTCCCTCTTGCATGGCTGAGGACGATGCTCACAAG